GGGGGGGGGGGGGTTGGGGTTTCGTGCCGTTGCTGCTGCTGCCGACGGATGCTCCGCTGGGTCCCTGACGGCAACTATGACAGTCACAACTCTCAAAAGCTGTTAACTGTCCAAAAAAAAACACAAAAAACGGCTAAGACCCGACGAGGAGAGCTGCGCTTGCGTGGTGGTGGCTCAGGGTAGCCAGCCTGTGCATAGTATGAGGGCCAGCTGGGGGGGTTTAGGGTGGTTCATTCCTCGCGATCTTCTCCTCTCAGTATTTAATTTAGAAATGCATGCAATAAGAAACTCAAATAAATAAATAAACTGCTCAATGCGGGTCAGTCAAGACAGGCTCGTTGTTTCGTCGTCCTCAGCAGCTCATGGTAGCTGGTTACACAGCCTGGTGAATACGGCAGTTTATATGAATCTATACGAGAATTATTTTGCATGCGCCATAATAATTAAGAATAAAAGAAAATAATAAGTTTAATGCATGCGTAATAGGAGAAAAATACAACACACACATGCATGGTGTTGGGCGGCAACGCGGGGCCGGAGAGCGCCGGCGTTCATATAGTATCTTCTCTGAAAGCATTGAATGGCTGATGATTTGTTATTTGTGTATATGCAAATATAAAGCGTAAAATAACATTAAATATTATTTAAAATTATTTTAATGGTAAATAAGAACTTAATTATCATCACTATCTAGAAAAAATAAGTTTTTATTAGGCCTCTTTACATGAAATTCATATTCTGTTTTCTGTACAACTTCGTTTCCCTTTGATCAGCACCATTCCCAGCATCAGCATAAACACACACAAACACACAAACACGCACCAAGAATACACACGATGGAGATATGTATGGGTGTGAGAGTGTACACAGTAAGCCTTGATATTCACAAGCAAAAGAGAAACACTATATATATATAATATATATAGTGTATAATATAATATAATATCTTTGGGTAAGCGATCAATAGTTTGTATGGAGGGGGCTGAGTGGGCTTCACTGAAGAACCCGCAGCAACATTTCTCTTATCTTTTGTATCCAAGCAAGCGTTCTATCAGCTCTTGAATATACTAATTCTGATACTATAATGTAATAGAGAGAAAAGAGGAATATGCTAGGTCTCTAGGTACTAAGCAGTATATACTGCTTTCCATGTGCCCCATACCGGCAACAAATATCTCTGAATATACCCACAAATTTAACTTTTTTGATTCGTCTTTTTCTATTGGATAGAAGCAAAGTGACGACGAACTTGAATTTGGTTGTACAGCCCCTTCGGTGCCTGAACGACAGGAAAGCTGAACTGCAGTATTCCTCTTCTGTGCATTCTATCCAACAAGCTCGCAGCTACACAAGCAGAAGAGGGTTGCTGTGGTATTTTAATTGCTGCAGTTCCATACAAAGGCATCACACTGCAACCACCACTACTGCTGCTATGAGCCCAAAGCCCTAAACCCTTAACCCTAGACTCTACGCCCTACACCCTACACGCGAAGCCGTGAAGCTGTTGTGCTGTGTTGTATTGCAGCGTTACAAGTTCAAAGTAACCCCATAGCTTCAATCCCTGCATATCTAACCCTACCCCCAGCTTTCTTGATAAAAGGACCTCACCCCCGTAGTAGGCACCCTAAGAAGAATTTCATCGGCAATAGAATCACAAAAGCTGCCGGAAATGCTGAGTTGCTAATAGGGGCCCCGGCTGGGTTTCGGAATGAAGCCTGAATGGGCCGGTAGTGTATATACACCGCGGCGCCCAACGAGGCGTGAAATTTGCCAGTCTTTAGGCGGCACGCGGTATCTAGAGAAAACGACACTATCACCACCACCACCACCACCACCTGTGCAGCACGCGGCCAGCAGGGTGGGTGTAGTTAGTGTTTAGAGCCATAAATAATATACTGAGGTGGCCCATATACTCTTCTCGAGAAGAGCTGCCACGCAAACGCACAACTGTTATGTCCACCTCTCTGCAATACATATGCAGTTCATAGCCAGCATGCAGCACGCCAATACAAGTCAAAATCTATGCTTTGCTCTGCACAGCCCCCATATGCCCCCCGTTGGGCTTCGCGGGGGGCTGCTGCAGGCCTTCATTCATCTTCAGCGTGCGGGGACACTACCCCAAGTAGTGTATACACCAGAGCTAGTAGAGCAGGCGCCGAGCCTGTCTCATCGTAGCTTAGTTAGCATGATGCGGAATGTATGCGCACCCCATGGGGGGCCCCTGCAGCATATACCCTGACGCTCTTCCTGCCAGGGGAGTCAAGGCTTTCTCTTCATCTTCTCGCGGACGCACAACGACCCAAGGAAGCGTGGCTGGGGGGCGGTGGCCCACGGCCTCGCCGCGGGCCCTGCCAGGGCCCCCCTGCCCCATATGCTCTGTTTTGTCTGGCATATTCCGCGTTCTGTTGTCGTCTTTGGGTCTGTGGAGAGTGAGGGGGCTGGCGAGTGCCCAAGGGGCCCCTGGGGGCCCGAAGTGGGCCCCCTTAGGTGCTCCTGCTGCTGGATCATGTCCTGGGAGCAGCATCATTCCACTGGGTTGTCTATTTGGCAGAAGAGGGGAATTCTGATTCATCTGCTGCTTCGAAGAAAGAGTGGCGTCGGCGTTGAAGCCAAAGCCACAGGAGTACCCCGCAACAGACAAGAGCTCCTCCCCCAGTGAGGTCTCTAGCTGAGCAGTTGGCTGCTCTACAAAGGGACGAAACT